GATCCCGAGATGTCGATCGGCGGGCCTTCTGAAGTCGTCGACAGTGTCGTGAGACAATCTACTGAAGCAAGATCCCCTGTATTGCCTCGGCAGACTGTTGCGTAACTGCTGCTAGCGAGCATTTATGAAGGCAGGCACAGCACACCACGGTCTGGGTGGCCAGCACCACGCCTGGTCGCCTTTGTCTCCCTCGAAGCGATGTTTACCCATCACGCCAGGTCCTCGTGAGGCCGAGTCGACCTAAGGGAGACCCAGCATTGGTTCAGATAACTGTCACTGGCGTTGATCGTGGGTCGCTGGTTTCGTAGCACAGATCGCGAGCTGCTACACTACCGCTCCCCACGCTACAGAACTCATACAGGCCCCTTAACACATAAACCTGTCACTGGTTTATTTACAAATGCTGTGCTCATTGTGATAATTATCATCACCTTATATCTGAAAATCGTTCTGTCCGTGTCGGCACCCTGATACGTCTGTGATTGGCCCCTGGTGGCTCGAATCTTTACTCTGGCAAGGCACTTGTGAGAGGCCACTCCCAAGCCTGGGTCATAGGTCATGGCTTACTCGGTGAAGAATGGAAAACAAAACCCCAAATCTTCCCTTGAGCTGCTAACTAAAGTTAAAACGAGAACTTGAAACGTACCCATGTAGCCTGGCATTTACATAGCGTCACCAAATGTATGGTTTTAGGCTAATCTAATTATTATAATTGCCACGGTGGCGAGACGTTAACTACCTCGCCTGGTATGCAGGAGGTCGTGGGTTTGATCCCGACCCCGACGCCTGCTGCTGTATATTTGGTGTGTGCGGTGTCTCTCTCCCCGTGGTCGCGTGGATTTTTCTCCGGGCCCTCTGGTTTTTCCCTCCACATTTAGAAATATGCGTTTAGAGTATCTGGCTGCTGCTGCTGCTATAAATGTCCACGTGATAAGCCACTTCGTCGAGCCAACATTTGTGGCCAGGTCGCTTCTGAAAAAGAGCTGCATAGCTCAGTTGGGCCTCACTTGGTGAAAGTAAAAGTCGTATTTTTTTTGTAGCTGAAAGTTTTATGATAACTTACGTAAAGAAGGCACCTGTGAAGGCACCTGTAAGGAATTGACGTTTTGGGAGTCCGTGGGGCACCATGGCATCCCACGGACCATAACAAAACACAGTCGCTCACGCAACAGGCATTCAAGGTGTCAAGTGTCAACCCCGCTCGAGCGAGCTGGACACTTGAAGTTTGCGTCATCGGCTTCATCAGCATTTACGTCGACCTTGATGACGATTAAAAAACACGCGAACGTCAAAAAAAGTGCCACTATGTTTTTGTTGCCAAAATGTGATGGTGGTGGTGGTGGGAGGGAGTCTCTCAGTCACAAGAGCCAACGCAGAAGATTCCTGGGGTTTGATCTTCCATGAAGCTGCTCACGGTCCACCCTAAATCACCACCACTCCATAAACCATGACAGATGCGGACACCTGATGCACTCAATGGAAAGTTTAAAAACTCTCCGGCAGCAGTGGTGCCACTGTGGTCATCCAGAGCAGACCACGTACACAACCCAGTGCCCCGATTCACAAACACTGAAGGAGACATCACCACAGTGGTGCACTCCGCGCTACTCCTGACGCGGTTGTCTGCCGGCTTCACCACCTGGATGTGAAATTGTAGTTGTTGCTCTGCATCTACATCAGCAGAAGCAGGGGAAGGAAGAGCAGTGGTGAGACGTTAACTATCTCGCCTGGTTTACAAGAGGCCGTGGGTTCAATCCCAACCCTGAGACCTGTGTTTTTGGAGTTTGCATGTTCTCCCCGTGGTCGCATAGATTTTTCTCCAGGTCCTCCAGTTTTCCCGTCCACATTTAGAATCGACGTACCATTTAGTCGCATCAAAGTCACATTAAAAAAATGTCTGGAAAGTCCGGACACTCACGGCTGCGTCCACAGGACTTCTCACCAGGCGGGGCTCTTGCACCGCACCGCACGGCAACGGCGGAGTGAGCGTGGCATCAACAACAGCCACGCGACTCGCACACTTAGCTGGGAGACGTGAAAAGTGCAGCAAACGAAAACACGGAACGCCGCGAGAGAGAGAGAGGTGGGGTGGCGGGAGGGAGGGAGGGAGAGCAGGGCACGATCGTGCGTGCGAACGTGCAGGCCGGACGGCGTGGGCATGCCCGTGCGTTGCGCATGCCCGCTACTCCAGCGACTCGCAGGCAGTGGTTGGTCGATCGCACGCAGGTGGAGCCAGGTGCACGTGCGGACCCCCGACTGGACGACTACGAAGTGACGGTGGCATGCGGTACAGCGGGCAGGTTTCAAACCTTTCTGTGCCGGGTTTGGGAGTTTTCTCTTCGCAAGCGCGTGTATTCTCCGGGCACTCCAGTGTCCTCCCACAAAGCAAAAGATATCCACGTTGGTCAAGCTTCCTGAGCATAGGCGTCGCACAAACAGTGTCGGGACATGTCCCGACTGTCCCGAGTAGGTGGCGGTGACCTGCTTACAATGCCACGTCTGCTGGGGACTAACAAACACGTGAGCCGCTGCGAGAACACGACGTCAGAATCCCTCCGCACAGGTCGCACGAGAGCGATCCGAGGAGTCTTCGTATAACACAGCCGTGAGCACAATGGCGAGGAGAAGAAAAAAAACCCGTAACATTACGCACTTTAAAGTCGGTTGACTGCACCGATGGCTTAACGTGGCTAACTCCTGCGCTCCTCAACCGAAGCAGCGCTTGAGGCTGGTGACGCCCTGCAGATGAGCGAACGCCGCAAGCGTGGGTCACAGAGACTCTGCCGAGCTCTTTGCGTCTTCTTGCCATTTGGACTGCCGCTCGCCGTTGTACAAAAAAGACACCGCGTGCTGAAAACGCACATTTCAGGGAATTGTGTTTTTTTGGAGGGTGCTGGGTTTTTTGTTTGTCTTTGTTTCCCCCGAAGGTCACGGGGCGAGATGCTGTGACGAGGTTGAAAAGGGAACGAGACGTGCTGTGTGTGACTCGAGCCATGAGCGGCCCGGCAAGTGAGTAAACATTCCAGAGCGCGGTGATGGAGTCTTGCTCATTAAGCGGCCTCATTTTCAGTTTAACACGTTAAACAAAGTTTTACGGACACGTCACTGAATGCCAGATCCATGATTCATTAAATCAAACAAGTTAACAATTGTACGCTTAAGCCTCCCCCCACTGAATTCACGTTGCCAGCGCTGCATACAAAAAAACAGTTCGAAAGAAATGAGTTTTCAATCCAGCTCCAATTTGGAAGCCACTGGAGCTAGCACTTTTCAATCGAGATTGAAAACTCATCTCTTCAGAACGGCCAGGGGCAAACCCCGCCGTGTGTGCCCCCTCGACGCCTTCAAACTCAACGGGAAGTACCACATCTGACGTGGACGCCGTCACGTCCAAGGGCGGGCCCTAGGGACGGGGTCTGCACCCAGCAGATGGAGTGACGAGATCGGCTCAAGGTGGATCGTGAGAGATGCCGACGGCTTGGGGAGGCCTAATCCAGCAGTGGGTAGATCATGGCCGACGACGATGACAATGATAGCGCCGCCGACGACACCAACGGCAACGAAGGTGATCACCCTTGCCGACGACCACGCGTGGGGTTTTGTTAGAAATCACGGTCGCGTTTGAAGCGTTACGATTATCACGAAGCCGAAATGGTCGCGTCGGCGTCTTTGGTGAAAGGCTACGGAGCGTAACGAACGTTCAGCTCCCGAATGGGCGGAACGTCGGACATCGATCTGAGCAACGCGCGGCACGACGCGAGAACCAAGTCGGAGCGCCGCGCAGCTTTGCCAACTTATGATTGTACATTTATGGAATTATTATAAGAAATTAATGTGAATCAAAATCCAATTCGTAACAAACGTACACGTTCGTAAGAGAGAATACAAATTAATGCCCGAATCACGGCGAGGACATTAATACCTAACCCAGTAAACATGGAACGTTGGGGTCAACGTTTTTGGGCCCACGTTGTTAGTCGAACGGTTGCAGCCGCATGCTAACGTTGGCCCAACGTTGTGGCGTGTTCACCGGCTCGTTTTCAAGGAGCAGTGGACTCGAGTCGACGCGAGCTGGCTCTCCCGTGGGAACCTGGCGCCAGCATGGCGAGTGAGAACAGCACCTGAGGGCTGTGTCTCCCCAGCAGCGCCTCAGGGCTGTGTCTACCCAGCAGCGCCTCAGGGCTGTATCTACCCAGCAGCGCCTCAGGGCTGTGTCTACCCAGCAGCGAGGACGAGCAGAGGGAAGGAGAGTGCTGGCTAGGAGATGTTCACTCCCTCGCCTGGTCTACAGGAGGTCGTGGGTTCAATCCCGACCCTGATGCCTGCTGCTGTATATTTGGAGTTTGCGTGTCTCTCTCTCATCATCATCACGGTGGCTAGGAGATGTTAACTACCTCGCCTGGTCTACAGGAGGTCGTGGGTTCAACCCCGACCCTGATGCCTGCTGCTGTACATTTGGAGTTTGCGTGTCTCTCTCCCCGTGGTCGTTTTGATTTTTCTCCGAGTCCTACAGTTTTTCGCTCTGCATTTAGAATCAACATCAGGCGTTTAGAGTATTCGGCTGCGATACATTTCCACGCAATGATAAGCCGCTTCGTGGAGCTATCATTCGTGATAGCCAGGTCGCTGCTGAGAAAAGAGCTCTATACCTCAGCGGGCTTTACCTGCTAAAATAAAAACTAGTTTAGTTTAAGATTAGATTCCCAGCCTTGCTCAATAACCAGGAACAACCGGAAACCTGCAGCTGTCCTGAGCCTCCTCTAGGTTCACTCAGCATTCACTGAGTATCCATCATGGAATGTGAACATGAGCGTTGACGAGACATTGGACGACGGGGTGTGGTGCTGTCCACACCACCCCCTCGTCCGGTGCCTCATGGGCACTTTCCAACATGCCACTTGGCCCAACAGTCTACAAATCCACGTTCGATACTATCGGTGTCAAATTAAAATAGTTGAAAGTCGCAGTAGTTTGTAAGAGGTGGCGGAGAGAGAACTTACCCTGCCGTTGACCGTGAGCTCCGACAGCTCCTCCTCATCGTCGCGCGCGGAGAGGCGTCGCGAGAGCAGGCGGCCCAGGGACTTCATGCCGCCAAGTTCTCCGCGACCGGACCTTCACCGCCCCTTACCCCTGCCGCGGCTGCGTGGGCAGAGGGTGGGGTTGGTGGGTGGGTGGGTGGGGTGTGGGTGGGTGTGGGTGGGTGGGTGTGGGTGGGTACACGCCGACCGAGGTGCTCCACACGCCGCGGTGGCGTCGTCCGCGCCCGGCCGATGCGAGCCTGAGAGAGACGAGAGGGCCCACAGAACAAGACACTGTCAGCGAGTAAAGTCCGTCGGTCGGAAAGACATTATCGGGCGTCTCTCTGTTGCGCCGTGCACACGCGCGCACGGAGAAGCCCTCTTGTCGGTCCGCTGCTGGACGAGGCGCTCATCGTACCCGAGTTGGATTGCGCCAGGCCACTGAGCGTACTTCACTGCCCTGGACTGGTCAGTCGGGGTCCGTGCAGGCGGGGAGCATAGTACAGTGCAATGGATTTTTCGGCGTTGTCTTCAGGTGACAGGTGCACTTCCCCGTGTAGCCCCTCATGCAAGCACTCTCCAGGCTCCAGCCCTGCTTAGCTTTCTGAGTCCGCATGGCGCACCATTATTATCGTTACGGCTCCACGTGGTTTGGTCACGGAGGTATGCGCAGAATTGCCTGCGAAGTCAGGCCAGGTAGGTGGCACTGTGGTTGTCGCACTCGGCCTCTCATCCTCAGGTTGAGAGTTCGAGTCCTGGGCAGGTGACAACTCGGCCAATCATCCATCCCCACCAGCCTGATGAAAAAATAAATACAGGACTACTTTGTGCACAACTCACAATGCCTGCTGCGGTGGGTAAAATTTAGCACCACTTTGTTTGACGTTAACACAGGTCAACCCAATGTGGAAACTGGTCCCCACCATGGCAATGTGGAGTTGCCGGCATTGGCTTAAGTTCGCCAACAGCGATGAACACCCCAAAACACTGACAAAGATAGGGGAGCCTTGATCAGTGGACCGAATAATTCGCCTCCCAGAGGAGTTGTGACACTACAGCCAAGACCAAGCATGCAAGGCCCCCAGTGCCGGACTAAGCTAGTGCGGGGCCTGTAGCATATGATGTTCTAAAGGGGCCCTAAATAAAAAAGATATTAAAACACATTTATAACTGGCAAAGTAAAGTAATTGTATTTTTTCATTTACTATACAGCCAGATAATACGACAAATCGCTAACCTTAAACACCCAGTCGTTCATAAAAGTTGAAGGCAGGATGGTACTATAGTAATAGAGCAAGTGCAGAATCACTGAATCGGAATTGATAGCTTGAAAGCATTCAGCGCGGAGCTACTTTTGCTCCTGGGACAATCCGGCACTGAAGCCCCCCCGCATACCCAGCACGTACGTGTGTGTATTGCACAGTCGTACGGTGTGTGTATTGCACAGTCGTACGGTGTGTGTATTGCACAGTCGTACGGTGTGTGTATTGCACAGTCGTACGGTGTGTGTATTGCACAGTCGTACGGTGTGTGTATTGCACAGTCGTACGGTGTGTGTATTGCACAGTCGTACGGTGTGTGTATTGCACAGTCGTACGGTGTGTGTATTGCACAGTCGTACGGTGTGTGTATTGCACAGTCGTACGGTGTGTGTATTGCACAGTCGTACGGTGTGTGTATTGCACAGTCGTACGGTGTGTGTATTGCACAGTCGTACGGTGTGTGTATTGCACAGTCGTACGGTGTGTGTATTGCACAGTCGTACGGTGTGTGTATTGCACAGTCGTACGGTGTGTGTATTGCACAGTCGTACGGTGTGTGTATGCACAGTCGTACGGTGTGTGTATTGCACAGTCGTACGGTGTGTGTATTGCACAGTCGTACGGTGTGTGTATTGCACAGTCGTACGGTGTGTGTATTGCACAGTCGTACGGTGTGTGTATTGCACAGTCGTACGGTGTGTGTATTGCACAGTCGTACGGTGTGTGTATTGCACAGTCGTACGGTGTGTGTATTGCACAGTCGTACGGTGTGTGTATTGCACAGTCGTACGGGGTGTGTATTGCACAGTCGTACGGTGTGTGTATTGCACAGTCGTACGTTGTGTGTATTGCACAGTCGTACGGTGTGTGTATTGCACAGTCGTACGGTGTGTGTATTGCACAGTCGTACGGTGTGTGTATTGCACAGTCGTACGGTGTGTGTATTGACAGTCGTACGGTGTGTGTATTGCACAGTCGTACGGTGTGTGTATTGCACAGTCGTACGGTGTGTGTATTGCACAGTCGTACGGTGTGTGTATTGCACAGTCGTACGGTGTGTGTATTGCACAGTCGTACGGTGTGTGTATTGCACAGTCGTACGGTGTGTGTATTGCACAGTCGTACGGTGTGTGTATTGCACAGTCGTACGGTGTGTGTATTGCACAGTCGTACGGTGTGTGTATTGCACAGTCGTACGGTGTGTGTATTGCACAGTCGTACGGTGTGTGTATTGCACAGTCGTACGGTGTGTGTATTGCACAGTCGTACGTGTGTGTAGTTGCACAGTCGTACGGGTGTGTATTGCACAGTTCGTACGGTGTGTGTATTGCACAGTCGTACGGTGTGTGTATTGCACAGTCGTACGGTGTGTGTATTGCACAGTCGTACGGTGGTGTATTGCACAGTCGTACGGTGTGTGTATTGCACAGTCGTACGGTGTGTGTATTGCACAGTCGTACGGTGTGTGTATTGCACAGTCGTACGTTGTTGTATTGCACAGTCGTACGGTGTGTGTATTGCACAGTCGTACGGTGTGTGTATTGCACAGTCGTACGGTGTGTGTATTGCACAGTCGTACGGTGTGTGTATTGCACAGTCGTACGGTGTGTGTATTGCACAGTCGTACGGTGTGTGTATTGCACAGTCGTACGGTGTGTGTATTGCACAGTCGTACGGTGTGTGTATTGCACAGTCGTACGGTGTGTGTATTGCACAGTCGTACGGTGTGTGTATTGCACAGTCGTACGGTGTGTGTATTGCACAGTCGTACGGTGTGTGTATTGCACAGTCGTACGGTGTGTGTATTGCACAGTCGTACGGTGTGTGTATTGCACAGTCGTACGGTGTGTGTATTGCACAGTCGTACGGTGTGTGTATTGCACAGTCGTACGGTGTGTGTATTGCACAGTCGTACGGTGTGTGTATTGCACAGTCGTACGGTGTGTGTATTGCACAGTCGTACGGTGTGTGTATTGCACAGTCGTACGGTGTGTGTATTGCACAGTCGTACGGTGTGTGTATTGCACAGTCGTACGGTGTGTGTATTGCACAGTCGTACGGTGTGTGTATTGCACAGTCGTACGGTGTGTGTCTTGCACAGTCGTACGGTGTGTGTATTGCACAGTCGTACGGTGTGTGTATTGCACAGTCGTACGGTGTGTGTATTGCACAGTCGTACGGTGTGTGTATTGCACAGTCGTACGGTGTGTGTATTGCACAGTCGTACGTTGTGTGTATTGACACAGTCGTACGGTGTGTGTATTGCACAGTCGTACGGTGTGTGTATTGCACAGTCGTACGGTGTGTGTATTGCACAGTCGTACGGTGTGTGTATTGCACAGTCGTACGGTGTGTATTGCACAGTCGTACGGTGTGTGTATTGCACAGTCGTACGGTGTGTGTATTGCACAGTCGTACGGTGTGTATTGCACAGTCGTACGGTGTGTGTATTGCACAGTCGTACGGTGTGTGTATTGCACAGTCGTACGTGTGTGTATTGCACAGTCGTACGGTGTGGTGTATTGCACAGTCGTACGGTGTGTGTATTGCACAGTCGTACGGTGTGTGTATTGCACAGTCGTACGGTGTGTGTATTGCACAGTCGTACGGTGTGTGTATTGCACAGTCGTACGGTGTGTGTATTGCACAGTCGTACGGTGTGTGTATTGCACAGTCGTACGGTGTGTGTATTGCACAGTCGTACGGTGTGTGTATTGCACAGTCGTACGGTGTGTGTATTGCACAGTCGTACGGTGTGTGTATTGCACAGTCGTACGGTGTGTGAATTGGAGTTTACGGGAGCCACATCCGTTTGTATCTTGCCGAGTCAGAGATGCACACAAGAGGAGCCACGATTCTGCAGAGTAGGCAGAACATGCATGTTTGACTTTTTTCGCACCGTACTTAGCCAGTCGTTACGCAATGTTGTAACAAAGCAGTGGCCAGGACATCGACTTCGTGTTAAGAGTCCACACAGAATGCTGGACATCTTTCGCACCGTACGTAGCCAAACATGCAAATCACGTGCACGACACACACACTAAACATACACACACACGCATATTAAACACACATACACAAAGACAAAGATCCCCCGTATTGCATTAACAGACTGTAGGGGCAAGTGCTGTTAGCGAGTAGCACCTATTAAAGGCTGGCACTGTGGCACACGAGGGGGTGGGTGGCCAGCACCACGCCGGGCCGCCTTTGTCTCCCCAGTGGCGATGTCTACACACGGCACCGGGTACTCATTTGAGGCCGGGTTGATCTAGGGGAGGCCCAGGACCGGTTCAGATAATCGTCGCTGGTGTTGGCCGCGAGCAGGATTCGAACCCGGTTTGCCGGGTTCGTAGCGCAGCGCGCAAACCGCTACACTACCGCTCCCCACTTACATACACACACACATACACACATACATACATACACAAATACATACACACACATACACACAAATACATACACATATACATACACATATACATACACACATACATACACACATACACACATACACACACACATACACCCACACACATACACCCACACACATACACACACATACACACACATACACCCACATACACACACACACATACGTGCCACTTATGAGACACACAGTACAGACACTTAGTACACGCACATAGGCAATACCTGCAGTGTGTATGCAAAGACGAGAGTGCATTCCCGCGTTATTACTCATAGGACCCGTAGTGTATAGTCTCTGTGTGAACATTTGTGAAACATTTAACAAAACTTAAAGGGATAAGATAACGTACAAGCACACACACTGACACACCGCTTTACCTGCCCAACAGAGTGCCTGGCAAAGTCACGGAGCCGGGAGTGAACACTTGCCAGTGAACTCACAGCTCCCCCGGGACCAGACAGACACGTCTAACCACTTTGACTCAAGCAAACACACATACACACACACTCACATTTACACACACTCTCACATTTACACACACACACTCACATTTACACACACACACTCACATTTACACACATACACACACTCACATTTACACACACACATACACACACACTCACATTTACACACATACACACACTCACATTTACACACACACTCACATTTACACACACACATATACACACACTCACATTTACACACATATACACACTCACATTTACACACACACAACAACAACCGCCATTCGCCACTAATTGGCGGCGACGTCACCACGACGATTGTGCCAGGCTATGTGCACGTTGAGGCCACGTAAAGTGTCGAACGCCCGCTGGCAGGAGGTCACAGGGCAGACCCAGATGCCACAAGTCGACTGACTGAGACGACTGGCTGATGCACCACCTGTGCCCCCTACTGTGCCAACTTGCTGTGCTTTAGCCACCCGGCGCTCCGCTCGTTGTTGTGAGCGTCGCTCATCCGCCCTCCGTTGTTGTTGGAGGGCCACTGCTTCCAACTGCCCAGTAGCGTCCTTCACGAGCCTCCTCCACAGAGGCCGATCTTGACACCGCTGGTACCAGTCATCGGCAAGTCCACGTCCTCCTGTACCACATCACTCCATCTCTTTTCTAGTCAGTGCCGCGCCCGTTTAGCCCCCTCGATCCGGCCGAACAAAAGCTGTTTAGGCATGCGGTGGCTGGGCATGCGGGCGACATGACCACATCTTTCAAGGATTTGTGAGCTCCTCACACAACCCAGTCTGGTTAAACCCAGGATGGATCGTAGGCAGGTCAGCCTAAATGTTTCTAATCGGCGAAGACCTTCCATTAGAGGTGTCCACGTTTCACAAGCGTAGAGAAGGGAGGGAATGACCGTGGCCGAGAAGACCTGAAGTTTCGTGCTGATTGATAGACCAGGTAACTTCCACACAGCGTTATGCAACCGATGAAAAGATAATGCCGCTCGACTGATTTGGAGTGAGACCTCTACTGCTAAACCGGAGCTGGTCATGAGCACACTGCCCAGGTATGGGAAACTTTCCACTCTCTCCACAACTGCCCCATCACCGATTGGGAGTTGTGGAGGTGGAGTGCCCGATGGTACAAAATACCCAGGCAGGTGCTTCATTTTGGTGGGGCTGATAGTAAGGCCCCACCTCTTCGTGGCACACTTCAGTTTCAGCAGCAGCGCCTCCAACTCCTCCTCTGAGTGAGCCGCAATTACCAGAGCATCGGCATACATAACGTGGTTGACCAATAGGGAGCCATCCCTTGACCGCACCGGGTATCGATCAGCCTCCGATTGTATCTGTACCAGATGGAAATTCCTCCGGTACAGCTATTGAAGGCTTCACGAACTATGTGGTCAAAATAGATGTTAAATAATGATGGAGCCAAAGGACATCCCTGTCGCACCCCAAGGTGAACAGGGAATGGCTCCGACTCCCAGCCACATAGTTTTACCCGAACCCGCTCACCATCATGAAGGTCCTTAATGATCATGAGCAGCGGGTCAGGGACTCTGAAAGCACGAAGAACAACCCAGTGCCCAGGCCTACTGATGGTATCATAGACCTTGACCAGGTCAATAAAGCAGATATGTAGGTCTTGTTGGAATTCCCTACACCTCTGCACACTGAGGAGTGAGATACCCCTGTAGTTGTTACAGTCTGTGCGGTCTCCCTTCTTAAAGATGGGGACCACCAGGGCATCCTTCCAGTCCTGCGGAACCCGTCCAGTGGTCCAGACTATTGTTATGATGTCATGTAGGGCAGTTTGTGCACAAATGCCACCCTTTCTCAGCATTTCGCTTGGGAGATCATCTCTGCAAGGTTCCTTTCCTGGTTTTAGACTCTGGATCACCTTCAGTACTTCCTAAACAGATGGCACCTCAGACAGCCACTCACAGGGGGTGACTTCCTCTTCCAATATTTGAGGCACCGTAGCCTCAGCAGGGTCATTCCCATTTTGTCCCACGATGTTTTCCATGATAATTGGTTCTTTACCCTTCTATCTGGCAACAAAACTGACACCTTTTTGCAAGGAGTCATGTTTGCATAGACCGCAATACCTGCAGTCATAATACAAACAAAAGAACATAACTCTGATAATGTGCACCATCAGAGTTATGTTCTTTTGTTTGTATTATGACTGCAGGTATTGCGGTCTATGCAAACATGACTCCTTGCAAAAAGGTGTCAGTTTTGTTGCCAGATAGAAGGGTAAAGAACCAATTATCATATTTTTACTGGCAAATGAGGTCCCCATAGTGATGTTTTCCATGTGGAGGAATTTCCCCTCCCCCAGGACTTCACAGAAATGCTCAGCAAATCTGCAAACCTGTTCCTGGGAGTTGAAGATTGGATCACCGTTTTTTCCCCTAACGATGGTAATAGGTATGGTGCTGCAGGTTACTTTTTTGATGGAATAAAATAGGGATTTGTAATCGCGGGCCATTGAGGCAGACTCCATCTCCTCAGCAACCCGCGACCACCACCCATCCTTGCAGTGCCTCACGGCTCTCCGAACCTCCAAGCGAAGGCTGCGGTAATCCTCATTCTCCGACGTGGGGTGCTGTAGCCGATGAGAGTGGAAGAATGGCAGGAGCATCTTACAGATGACTAGTCGATGGTCAGAGGGTGGTAGATCAGCTCCACGGTAGGTCCTGGTGTCAAGGACATGGGCTCGCATCCGCTGGTCCGTCACTATGTAGTCCAGCAGATGTTCTTGCTTGGACCCGGCATGCATCTATGATGTTGTCTGGATATGCCGATGCCGGAACAGCGTGTTGGTAATTACAAGCCCATGGGTTGCACAAAAATCTAGCAGCCTCCTACCGTTGTTATTGAGCTGATCTGGCCCATGCCTTCCAATCACTCCAGACCAGGTGCCAGCATCATTACCAACTCGGGCATTGAAGTCACCCAACAAGATTACTCTATCCCGAGGGGCCACTTTAGCCAGCACCTGTGACAGGAGGTCATAGAAGGCATCTAACTCATCGGCCTTGTCGGCATCCCTCCACGGATGTTTATCTTCGGTGGGGGCATAAGTAACCACAACCACCACTCCTCCCCTCCGGTTGATTGGAAGGCGAGCCCAAAGTAGCCTGGAGCTTACAGCTTCCCACACCTCACAGCCACGCTCCCACGCCCCCTTCATTCTTTTGTTCAGAAGAAGAACCACTCCCTGTTGTTTGGCAGTCTCCTGCCCCGAGTAGAGGACTGTCCACCCCTCATGGTGGCAGGAGCAAGAGCCGGTCCACCGGACCTCCTGAATGTCACAGAGATCCAGGCGGTACCAGTCCAGCTCCCGACAGAGGAGTAGGAGCCTCTCCTCCGCCGAGAGCGTTCGAACATTCCACGTGGCCACCCGTAGTGGTTTTTTGTTGTTTCTGGAGGAGCCCGAGGGTAAAGATTCAATCTCCTGGCTCCGCCAAATGGAGTTTGGCCAAGAGACGTCATAGACGCCTGTCCTCCCAGGGCCTCCGGCACAAGCTTATTTAAATGTTTCAATCGTGGTTTGGTGGTAATTAATTGAACGTGGAGGGGTTACCAGCCCCTCGCACCCGTCCAGAGTCCCCATTTGGCCGCTGTGGTGGTTCCAAATGCCATGAGGAGAATGGCCAATCTAAATTGGCCCTCCCCCCACGGCACTGCCCACCACAGCGTTGCCGTCCGGCACCAACGAGGAGGTAGGGGTTTTTTTTTGCCGGACTCACACTCACATTTACACACACATTCCGGCACAGACTGGCGCACACACATCAACACAAAGACAAAGATCCCCCTATAGCCTTAACATACTGTAGGGGCAAGTGCTGTTAGCGAGTAGCACCTATAAAGGCCAGAACGGTACAAGAGGGGGTTTGGTGGCCAGCACCACGCCCGACCGCCTTTGTCTCCCTAGTGGCGATGTTTACACACCGCACCAGGTACTCATTTGTGGCTGAGTCGACCTAGGGGAGGCTCAGGACCGGTGCAGATAATCGCCACTGGTGTTGGCCGTGAGCGGGAGTCGAACTCGGGTCGCCGGGTTCGTAGTGCAGCGTAGCGCTGACTGCTCCCCCAGTGACTCGCTCGCCCAGTGACACGCGCATTAGCACCAACACACTCACTCTCCTGTCTCTTACACTTACTCCCACTCACACACCAAGACAAAGCTCCCCGTGTAGCCTTTAACAGGCTGTTGGGGCAAGTCCTGTTAGCGAGCAGCACCTATGAAGGTCGGCACGGCGCACGAGGGGGTGTTGTGGCCAGCAACCACGCCCGGCCGCCTTTGTCTCCCCCAGTAGCGATGTTGACTACACACTGAACCAGGTACTCGTTTGAGGTACATTCACAGACATGTCCACTCTTACACACACACAGGTACGTACACAGACTCTCACACACACACAGGTACGTACACACACAGGTACGCACACAGACTCACACACACACAGGTACTCACACAGACTCACACACACACACACACAGGTACATACACAGACTCACACACACACAGGGACTCACACAGACTCACACACACACAGGTACATACACAGACTCACACGCACACAGACTCTCACAGACACAGGTACACACACAGGTACATACACACACAGGTACATACACAGAATCTCACACACACACTGGTACATACACAGACTCACACACACACACACAGGTACACACACAGGTACGTACACACACACACCCTCGCTGTCTCTCTCACACTCGCACGCGCCGTGCATCTGTCGTTACCTGTGGGCGTCCTTCCTCGGCGCCCGCCACGCCGCACACCTTGCGCGCAGCCCTGCCCGCGCAGCCGAGTGGCTGGCTGCCGAGTCGAGACCACGACGACGAAGACGACGACGTCGTCCTGCAGGCAGCCGACAGCGTGCAGTGGGTGCACGTGTCCAGGTGTGAGTGCGCGCGCGTGTGCGTCGGTGT